CCTTCGCCTGGCCTCCTGCTCTTGGAGCAGCACCACCCCAGCACCTCCCAGCACTGTCCCTTCCCAGCCCCTGCTCTGATGTGGAGACAGAACTTTCCCCCAGCCCTTCCCCTTTCCTTTCCCCCATATCATAGCCAAGGCTGGGATCTGGTGGGGCTTTCCCACTGCTTTCCAGCCAGGACCACACCCCCAGCACAGGCTCCTCTAGGAATGCAGCCTGAGCCAGGCTCAGCTCTGGGGATGATGCTCCATTAGTGTTTCATTTCAAGACAGGCACCAATTCCCTTCTGCTCTGCAGCTTCTTGGGGTAGGAAGCCTGAATTCGGTTTAAAAAAGCTCAAGAGACGTTTTGCACCAAGTAAAACCAACAAAGGCACTTTATCAGCCTGTGGTTGCCATTTAGAACTGGCTGATAACTTTGTGGGTAGAGAACGAAACTGCTGGTCCCCCCTCCCTGTGCTGAGGCTCTGCAGGGCCACGGGGACTGCTCGGGGTTGTCTCCATCAGAGTTTGGCTGAAGCAAAAGCCCAGAAGCTTTTGTACCGCCCCTTGGCCAAGAGTGTCCCACCTGGCAGCTTGTGCAGGTCAAGTCTTCACCTCCCAGGACGTTTTCCACCCTTTTCCACTCCATCAAACCCCAGAGCAATTCCTCAGGCCCTCCTCGTTTCCAGCAATAAACGAGCCCCCTTAATTAGGGCCAAGCAAACCAGCAGGAGATAAAATGTCCACAAAACAACCCCAAGCCCTGTTGGTGTCACGATGGTCTGAAGATGTTCAGGCTGTCTCCGGATCCCTCCTTGCTCATCACCAGCTCTGCTGTTAATTAAGCAGCATTTCCTGATGCAGTTCCTTTTTGAGAGCCTCAAACTCTCTATTTCTGGCAGGACCCAAGGCCTGCAGGGTGGGCAGGGTGGGAGCTCAGAGGGAGGGGAGAGGGTCAAGCTTCTATTTTACATCCCTGCAAAGCAGCTCTGTGGCAGAGGGGACCCTGGGACACAGCCTGGCAGTGCTGTGGAGGGAAGCAGGGAAGGGATCAGCCACGTCTCCCTGAGCAGGAAAATTATCAGCCAGTGCTGGTGTTGGTTTGTTTTCACACCCTGGCTATTTGAGCACTTCACAGAGAGCTTTTAAGCACAGCTACCCCTCCATTATAGGGGGGAAACTGAGGCACGGGTCAGGCTGGGTCAGAGGGGCTGAGGGGACCAGCACCCCCCATGAGGGCCACAGGTCCCACTTTGCTGCTCACAAACAAGAGGAAATCAGCCCACGACACCAAAATAGTTCCTTTGGAAGAACCTGGGCTAGCCCTGAGCAACCAGAGCACTGGGGGACCAGGCAGGGGTGGCCATGGCAGCACATCCCCAAAATATTCACAGATGCCTTCACCCAGCCAGAGCCAGGGGCAGGGCAGACCTGGCAGTTCTCCTGGTGGTGGAGAAACACCGATGGGAAAACTCGTGGTGGGGAAGGAATGCACCAGGGCTGGGGAGTGTCCTCTGTGTGATCTCTGTCTGGGGTGAGACAGCCAGCCCAGGGGAGGTGCTGGGACACCAGAGAAGGTCCCTGGTCAGACCAGGCTCTGCCTCAACTCACTGGTGGCTCCAGCGGGGAGGAGAAGGGCCACAGACCACAGACCCCAGTGGCCACTGTGGAGCCTGTGGTTGGTGGCCCCTGGGCAGGCACTGTCTGGGTGCTGCCCTGCTGCACACTGAGCTCAACTGGGAGCTCTTCCTCACCTGTGCTGGGGTCCTGCACCCCACAGGACACTGGGAACATCCTCTCATCCTCCCTGCACAGGGCTCACCCCATCATCAGTGTGGGAAGGTCCTTTTCAGCCATCTCCTCACCACTGGAAGTCATCTCTCCTCTCCAGGACTGAGCCATGGCCAATCCCAGATAACACCCCAGCCTGTCCCACTCTTGGTGCCAAGACAGAGAAGGATTTATGGGGCAGAGCCAAAGGCTTCCTGCCCGTGCAGGAGCCCATCCCCACAGAGCTGCTGCACCTGCTGGGGGGGTACAAACAGTCCTTCACGTGCTTCCTGCAAAACTTCTGCCAAGGGGATGTGAATCAGCCTGTTCCTCAGGCATTCCAGGTCCATCACGAGCCTTTCTTCCTCCAGGAGATTAAAAAACAACCCAAGGACAGAGGTTCTGCACAAAAAGGGGTGTCAGGCACAGCTGCCCAGGGCAGGGGTGGAGTCCCCATCCCTGGAGGGGTTTAACAGACTTGTGGATGTAGCACTTGGGGACATGGGGCAGTGGTGGCCTTGGCAGAGCTGGGGGAACAGTTGGACTCAACTATCCTAGAGGTCTTTCCCAACCTGAATGATGCTGTGATTCCAGGTGAATTCACCAGGAGCAGAGCAGGATTGGGAAGGGAAGGCAGCAACAAGGGGAGAAACAAGACTGAAGCAGAGAGACAAGTTCCCATCAGGAGCTCGACAGCCACACAGCCCATGTTTGTGCTTAGCACTGCTCCATCCAGCCCCCACTTTCCACAGGGAAGCACCAGTGCTGGGACATATAAATGGGTGGGTTTAGGAGAAAGGATTCTTGAGGAACGTGGAGCTGCTGGACTGTGATCAGTGCAGGTTAGAAAGACAGAAATCAGAGAGGCTGAGGCCAAGTCCAAACCATCAGCTGCCCAAGAGTGGCAGGGGGAGGCCGTGTCAGGATGTTCCTGATGGATTTGGGAGCAGGGACCAGCAGGGAGACAATGCAGATATTGGGTCTGAGGGTCTCCACAACTCCTCTCTCTTCCCAGGGCTTCTCTGAGTGAAGCTGGGAGAGAGGGGAGAGCCACGGGATTCCTGCTCTCAAATAGACCAGAGAGAACCAGACCACCCAGTGCTTTGCCCATGGCACCATGAGGGTCTCCAGACCTTCTGGTGCCTCTGCCACAGCAGGCACTGAAGGAAAAGCCCTCTGAGTGCAGCACTTGGAAACCGAAACCAGAAAGGCTGGAGAGGGAAATTCCCACAAGTGCCTGGGCACATGGCCAGGGGCTGTCTGGAGAGGAGCCAGCTCTGCAGCACAGAGTCCTCCAGCCTCTCCAGCCTGGGCCTGGGATAAACCCCAGACACCCCCTGAATTCCCTTTCTCCCTGTCATCCATCCTCCATCCCCTCTCAGGGTCTCGTTAGCAGGACTATTTGGGGCTCCTGCAGCACCAAATTCGGGGTCAAGGAGGTCTCAGGGGTAGAGGAGCCCCCCAGCACCCCCATCCTGGGCTCTTTGCCTGCTCCTGTCCATCCACCCCCCATGCAGGACCACTCTGCTCCCACATTTCACTGGGAAGCCTCACTCAGGATACACCTCCCTGCGGATTTTCACCTCTCCATGTGGTCCCCCAGCCTAGAACCATCTCCTGGGACACAACCTGGTGCTGGGCAGGGCTGCCCTTCCCTGGGATGCTGCTCCTTGCATGTCCACAAGCCCTCCTGCCTGCAGCAGCTTCCCAGCCTGGAAAACACAGGACTGAAGAGAAGTCACAAGACAACGTGGAGGTGCTTTCCCAACCTCAGAGTTGCCAAATCTGATCTGTAGCTGCAGGGGGGAAAAAAAATAAACACTGAGAAAAAGCATTCTTTTGCCTTAGGAAGAAAACCAGGATGAAGGCCAGGCCAAGGCCAGCTCTGGACTGTGCTGGGGGGGCATTTGAGGAGGGACTGTAAGAAAGATGGGGACAAACTTTTTAGTTGCTGGAGGACAAGGGGAAATGGTTTCAAACTGAAGGAAGTCAGTTTAGGCTGGATACAAGGAAGAAATTGTTCCCTGGAAGGGTGGTGGGACACTGGCACAGGTTGCCAGAGAAGATGTGGCTGCCCCATCCCTGGAAGTGTCCAAGGCCAGGTTGGACGGGGCTTGGAGCAACCTGGGCTAGTGGAAGGTGTAGGAGTGGGAAAAGATGATCTTTAAGGTCTCTTCCAACCCAAATCCTTCTGGGGTTTCTCAGAGTGCAGGAGCTGAGGAGCACTGAATGATCCCAAGGGACAAGCTGTGCCCAGCACTTTGCTTCCCTCCTTGGGACCTGCTTCTTCCCATTCACATTCCCATGGAAAGCTGCATGCTGAAAACAACTCCAGCAGGTTTGCTGCTGGTTGTTTCACCCCTGCAGCACAGCTGACCCCTTCCCTTTGTTTTACAGGTGGGAAAGTGAGGAACAACCCCTAGTGGGGTGGTCAGAATGAAGGCTGGGGTTCCCTGCCCCTCTCCAGGCAGCAGTGCCAGGCTCAGCACCACTGCCAGGGTGGTGGGCAGAGATGGGGTGATGTGTCACAGGAACAGTGAGGAGAGACTGGAGGCCTCTGACAGTGCATGGGTGGGTGCCTGAGGTGGGAATCTGCTGCTTAACTGGCAGCACTGGCAGGCAGGGCAGGGAATTGCCTGGCACAAGGAGCTCATGAGCCCCCCTGATACCTGCCAGCACCTCCATCCCCTCTGCTTCCCTCATATGAGCCTCTCTCCCTGCTTCCCCCAAAAAACTGGCAGGGTTTTACCCCTTGCAGCACCACATCCCACCACCACCCCACTGCACACCCAGGGACCAGTTTGAGGTGGGGTGTGTGGGGCTGGGAGCAGCAAGGGAGGGTATGGGACGTGCCTGAGGTGTGTGGAGAGCAGAGTCATGTATGTAAAAGTCCCACATGTGGGCACAAACACATCTAATTGTGGAGAGGATGTGGGAAGTGGGGGTGCATGTGATCTCAGAGGACATTCACAGGTCTGCAGGATGGAAACTTTATGGGTTTGCCTCAAACCATTTCCCATCTTCACATGTCACAGAGAGGCTGCAGAGAGGCTCAGGGAGGCATTCTGTCTGTGCTGTAACACCACAGAGAGGCACAGAAAAGGAAAAAAGCAGAGGTTTTGTCCAAATTCTTTATTCTCCAGAATCATGAGTTCACATGTGCAAACCAGGGCCACTCATCATCTAATATTGGGTCACCATCCTATAAATATCCTCCCTGTCACCCTCCCATAAAAAAAAAAAAAAAAGCACTGCCTACCCCATATGATAGTTTCATAAATAATTTACTGTAACTTCAACACAACAAATAATAATACAATTTCAAATAACATAACAAAGGTGCAGCCCCCTGGGCCTCGCCAGGCCACCAGTGGAGGGTCAGGGCAGAGGGATGAGGTCACAGCCCAGTCTGTGGAAGCTCAGGGTGAGCAGCAGCAACCCCAACAACACGAGGTGTCCTGGGGAGCCCTTCCAGCAGTCCCTTGGAGACACCTGCAGATGCCGTGGGCTCCTGCAGCTCCCGTTGTCCCTGCTCCATGGCCGGGGCTCGGGATGAGGTGATTTGTGCAGGACAGCAGCTCCACTTGCCATCCTGCCTGGCTCAGTTCTGCTCCAAGCTCTGCAGGTACCTCTGGACCCAGGTGTCACTGGGATTGGCACAGACCTGGTGGCCCCTCCTTGTGACGAACCTGTGGAACAGGATGGGACATGTCAGGCCTCAGCTCCGCCCTGCTTCCCAGGACAGCCTGGATCCCAGATTCGGGGCATTGCAAGAGGTTTTCCCCCCTGTCCCGAGCTGATTCTGGCTGTCATTCTCCGCCCCTCCCACCCCTTTTCCCACGCTGCCTCCTCGACTCCTGTGGGAACATCCCTGGGTGTCCCTGTTGCCTAAACTCGAAGAAATCTTTTTCTGGACAATGTGAGTATAGAAAGGTAAAAAAACATCTCTTTAATGAGTTGTCTTAGGTGCACAAAGATGGCCTATGTACACCCACACACACAGGTTTTACAAACTTACAGCATCATCTAATTAGAATATCTAACTAATATCCCTCATGGGGATGCACCCAGCACAAAAACTGTCCATGTCCCACAGGCACAACTCCCAGATTTGAGTTGGTGATCCCAAGACACCCACAAAAGTCTTCATCAGTTCTCTCTGTCCTGCCTTGACCATTTTCAGGGATTTTGGGCCCTCTTGGATAGTTTTGACTCTCTTCAGTCGAGCGATGTGCCTGCCGTGTCCCGTTCTAAGAACATTTTATACAGATGAAATGTTCTCTGCCTTGCTACAACCTTCGTCCATCGGGATTCTCGACAAGAAATATGAAACACCATTTCAGGAACCTAATTCACAGGCACTTAGCTAAAGTGCTGAAAGAGTTATACTAAACTCCACGTAACCCAGATTTTAAGGAGCATCCCCAGCAGTCCCTCTGCCAGCCCTTTTCCCTTGGGGTTCACCTCTCCCTGCTCTGTTCCTGCAGACTCCCCCCCGTGCCCACAGCCACCCTGCAGGGCTGGTCACCCCCAGGGTGGCTGTCCCTGCCCTGTCCCTGCCCTGTGCCAGCCCAGGGTCACTCACACAATGCCTGGCTGGGGGCAGCTGGTTCTGGTGCTGTAGTGACGCAGGATTCGGTCCCGGGGCAGCTCGTGGCGAGTGAACTTGAAACAGCAGATGGGGAGGTCAGGCCCAACTGGAAGAGGCAAAGAGACAAACAGTGTGAGCACTGGGAGCCGTGCTGGTGGGGAAGGGAGAGGGGAATTAGAGAACAACTCAAATTAAATGGATGTTGGGGATCACCTGGGCCAAAGCCAGGAGGTATCAGGTACTGCAGGAGATTCCCACCCTGCCAGTGCTCAGAGCTTCGCTTCCCCACCTCCCCCAGACCCAGGGCAGAGGCTGAAATCCCTCAGCTCTAATTAGGAATAAGTACTCTGAGCCCAGGGTTGATGGACAGATGGATGGATGATGGATAAATGGATGGAGGGATGAATGGAGGATGGGTCTGTAAGAAAGATGGGGACAAACTTTTTAGTTGTTCTAGGACAAGGGGGTGGTGGTTTTAAAATAAGTGAGGTCAGTTTAGGTTGGATTCAAGGAAGACATTATTCCCTGGGAGGGTGGTGAGACACTGGCACAGGCTGCCCAGAGAAGCTGTGGCTGCTTCTGGATCCCTGGAAGTGTCCAAGGCCAGGATGGACGGGGCTTGGAGCAACCTGGGATAGTGATGATCCTTAATTTCCCTCCAACCCAACCCATAAAGATAACCTTTAAGGTCCCTTCCAACCCAAATCCTTCTCAGATTTCTCAGAGTGCTGATGGATGGATGGATGGATGGATGGATGGATGGATGGATGGATGGATGGATTTTTTAATCCCAGGGTTCCTACAAGCAGCTGATCTCTGCACAGAGCAGACAGTGGCACCAATGCTGATAAATTCCCAGTTTTCTGCCAGGGGATCCCAAAGGAGAAATAACAGCAAAGGCTCAGATCTCTTCTTCCTTCACAAATGAAAAAGCAGGACTCACCTGGGCCAGAGAAAGTTTGGGAGAAGGAGGTTGCAAGGAGGAAAAGAGCCAGAACAGCTGCAAAGACCTTCATCTTTCCTGTGAGGATGAGGGATGTCAGAGCAGGACCAAAAGCTCCGGAAGATGCAGCTCCGTCTGAAGCAGCTGGAATCTGCTCCCTTTTAAAAGGAGCTTGGAGAACTCGAAATGGAAAGTCCAGGATGATGATAAAGGATGACACGAAAGTGAAATAGCTGAAGGGAATTAGAGGGAATGAAAAGAAAGCCAGGAATAATGGGATATAGTGGAGCCAAGTATGTGAGCTCTGACTCAGCGCTGGTTCTGGAGTTATTCAAATCGAAAGGAAACTAACTGTGCCAGGTGGCCTGGCCACAAAGAGGAGAACGGGTTCTCTGGACTGCAGGAAGGGGTTTTCCCTGTGAGGCTCTATAGGGAAAGGCTCAGTGTTTGCAGAAGATTATGCAACTCTGGAAAAAAACCAAACCGAGCGACAGCTCTCGTGCCGTTATGTGGCGGGTGCTCATCAGAGGCTGCCTGTGGAGCTCAGAGGTGGCTGGACTGAGGGATCTGTGCTTCCCAAAACGCTCTGCCTGCCCCCCCCAGACCAACAGTGCTTGGGTTAACACGGGCCAGCAGGGAGCTGAGGCTGGAGACACCCCTGGAATTCACTGGACCCGGCCCAGTCCCTGCTCAGTGGCTGTCCAGGACCATGTTCAGGTGGGCTGTGAGACTCTCCAGCCTCTCTGGGCAGCCTGTTTTGTTGTTCAGTAAAATTTTATCTGGTGTTTAAATGGAATTTCTTGCTGCCTTTTGTCCTGTCAGTGGCCACTGAGAAGTGTTGGGGTCCAGCTACTTTACCCCACACACACATGGGTAAGATCCCCCTGAGCCTTCTCTTCCCCAGGCTGAACTGTCCCAGCTCTGTCAGCATTTTCTCCTTGGAGAGGTGCTCCTGCCCCTTCATCATCTCCATGGCCTTTTGTTGGACTCTTTCCAGTATGTCCACGTACTGGGGAGCCCAGAACTGGACCCAGCACTCCAGGAGGGGCCTCAGCAGTGCTGAGCAGAGGGGAAGGGTCACCTCCCTTGATCTGCTGGCAATGCTCCTCCTCAGGCATCCCAGGAACCTGTTGGACTTTGGGTGCCAAGGGCATTTTGCTGATGATGCCCAGCCTGGTGTCCACCAGGAGCCCTGGGGCCTTTTGCTTTCCAGCTGTTTGGCACTGGCATATCCTGGGGGTGCCTGGGGGTGTTCCTCCCCAGGGAGAGGACTCTGCACTTCTCCTGTTGAACTTCATGAGGTTTTTGTCAGCCCATTTCTCCAGCCTGACGAGGTTTCTATGCATGTCACATGAGCCAATACGGACAGGACAAGGGGGAATAGCTTTAAACTAAAAAAGAAAAGATTTAGGTTAAATATTAGGAAGGAATTGTTCCCTGTGAGGGTGGGGAGGCCCTGGCACAGGTTGCCCAGAGAAGCTGTGGCTGCCCCATCCCTGAAAGTGTCCAAGGCAAGGTTGGACAGGGCTTGGAGCAACTTGGGATAGTGGTAGGTGTCCCTGCCCATGGCAGGGGGTGGAACGGGATGGGCTTTAAGATCTCCTTGAACCCAGAACATTCCATGATTCTGTGAAGGCAGCATGTCCTTGCAGTGTGCCAGCCCCTCCTGCCAGCTTTGTGTCCCCTGCCAGCTCGCTTAGGGTGCACTTTGTCCCATCAGTCAGGTCATAAGGATATAAAAGAATCCCCAGTATCGATCCCTGGGGTTCCCTGCTGCTGCCTGGCCTCCAGCTGGACTTTGTGCCACAGGTCACAACCCTCCAGCCCATTCCCAGCCTCTCTCACTGGTGTTTATCTAACCCACACTTCACCAGCTTGCCCTCAACAGTCCCAGGCATCCCAAAGGGCAGGATCTCACCTGGGAGCAGGGAGTTCACTGGAAGAAGGGATTTGCCAAACCTGAGACACTTTGCCAGCCTGAACCTCTCCGTGCAAAGGATGCCTTGAGTTGAAGATGAATTTCTGGCTAAAGAGGTGAGAAGCAAGTGCTGGAGAACCCCCCTGGCATGGGAGAGACTTTCAAGTCTCAGCTCGGGGCAGCTCCTGCCTGGGGAGCAGGGAGGGGGTGAGCTGGGCTTCCTGATGTTCTGCCACATTCTGGGGGTGCAGTCAAAGACCTTCCACTGCAGGGAGGGTTCTCAGGCCTGTGGTTGGGCTCCTGAGCTTGGATTTTCACCCCCAGAAGCCCAAACTCCATGCTCAGCTACTCTGGGGCTGCACATGAGAGCAGTGGAGACACCAACCTTCATAAACTGGCTTGTCCCCAGCAGGGACTGAAAGGAGAAGGTTCAAGGCCTCCAAGACAGGTGATGGTCTGTTCCTTCCCACACTTACCCCACAGGGAGGATCTCTTTTGCATTCCTCCTTCCTCTCATGGTCTTACATCCCTGTGGAAGGCTGCAGGCTCAACCTCAGCTGGGCAGAGACCTCAGCAGAGTGGCCAAGTGTGTGCTTTTAGTGGGGACAAATGCTCTGTAAGTCCTGACATGGATATCAGGGAAGGTGTTGGATTTTTCTGGATTCACAACAAGCCCTGGCAGGACCAGCTCTTCATTCCCTGGGTAAGTCTGAGCAGCTCTGGGCAGAACAAAAAGTGGCTCCGGCTTTTGGCCAAATTACGGAACGAAACCAAATTATGGCTTTTTGCCATGGAAATAAATCATGCAGAAACCAAGAGTGGGAGTTTTCTGTTCCTCTGTGCTCACAACTCTCGTGTCAGTGTGTGCTGGGGAAGTGACAAACACCAGCACTGCAGCAACAGGGTGACACAGGCTGTGGCTGCACAGAGACACAGCTGTGGCTGCCACCAGCCAGGGACAGCTTTGATCATGGGAACTTCACACCTTCTGCTGCCCTGCAAGGCTGAACCACGGGGCTGATGGTGCATGTAGACCACTGGGGTGGGTGGGGGGAGATGTGACCTGCAGCTCTGTCCTCCACCTGGAAGCATTGGGATGGTCAGCGAGAGGGAAGAAACCATCCCTGGCTGCTGATTGTGGTGAAGCTGGAGCAGGAGGAGGAGGAGGAGGAGGAGGCTGCAAAGAGCTGCTGCAGCTGCACCCCTCGGCTGTGTGGTGGCACGGAGCAGTTTGTGCCCACAGAGCTGCCCTTTGTCACTGAGATGTTGTTTCCCCCGGAGCGCTGAGAAGCTGGAAGGGGGGGACTCCTCCTCCCCCAGCCCAGGGCTCCAGCTTTGATCCAGCCCGGGATGGCCCTGAGCATTTCCCCCTCGCTGACCTCCAAAGCCACTTTCTGGTTTCGGTTTGCTGCTTCCGAGCGCTGGTTTTCGCTTCTCTGGCAAATCCC